GCAGGTCCCAGGTCAGGGTTGATTCCCGGGATTCAGTCGCTGTCTCCGGGATCCTCCCTCCCTGCCCCGATCCCGGCGGATCCAATCCCATCCCTGATCCCAGTGGGTTCTGGGGGATCCCAATCCCAGTGAGAGTCCTCCCCCCATCCCAGTGGATCCCAGTGAATCCTGCCGTGATCTATCCCAATCCCAGTGGATCCCAGTGATTCTCAGTCTATCCCAGTTTATCTCCCCAGTTCGGCCCAGGAGCTGCAACAGCTGGAGCAGGCGGATCCCAGTGTGATCTGTGTCTATCCCAGTCTATCGCAGTGGATCCCACTGTGATCTATCCCAATCCCAGTTAATCCCAGTTTATCCCAGTTTATTTCTCTCTCCCCAGTTCAGCGCAGGAGCTGCAGCAGCTGGAGCAGGCAGATCTGTGTCAATCCCACTGTGATCTGTGTCTATCCCAGTCCATCCCAGTCTATCCCAGTCCATCCCAGTTAATCCCAGTTTATTTCTCTCTCCCAGCTCGGCCCAGGAGCTGCAGCAGCTGGAGCAGGCAGATCCCAGTGTGATCTGTGTCTATCCCAGTCCATCCCACTGTGATCTATCCCAATCCCAGTCTATCCCAGTCCCTCCCAGTCTATCCCAGTCTATCGCAGTCTATCCCAGTGTGATTTATCACTGTTCTAGTCCATCCCAGTCTATCCCAGTCCATCCCAGTTAATCCCAGCTCGGCCCAGGAGCTGCAGCAGCTGGAGCAGGCGGATCTGTGTCAATCCCAGTGTGATCTGTGTCTATCCCAGTCTATCCCAGTCCATTCCCAGTTAATCCCAGTTTATTTCTCTCTCTCAAATCTGCTCAGGAGCTGCAGCAGCTGGAGCAGGCGGATCTGTGTCTATCCCAGTCCATCCCAGTCCATTCCCAGTTAATCCCAGTTTATCTCTCTCTCCCAGTTCAGCCCAGGAGCTGCAGCAGCTGGAGCAGGCGGCGCTGCCGGAGTGGGAGCAGCGCTGGGAGCTGCTGATGGACCGCGAGCGCTTTCGCCTCTGGCGCCGCCCCATCCCGGGCTCACACCTCTTCCAGTACCGGGGTACGGATCCTGAAAACAGCCCCAAAATCCTGGGGATGGGGTAAAAACATGGGAATGGCACAAAAAACATGGGAATGGCACCAAAAAAATCCCAGGGAAAACATCCCAAAAATCCTGGGAATGGGATAAAAACATGGGAATGGGACCAAAAAACATGGGAATGGCACCAAAAAATCCCGGGGAAAACAT